ACTCGACGGTTGAGTTTTCATTTGAATGACATGTCTAATATCTCTAAACATTTACAACATGCTTGTCCACATTTGCAATTTAGAAAAATTCTTGTTCAAAATACATCCATACTTCATGAAAATAATAAACGTAAACTAAACTTCCTTGAAGTTATCTATATTAAAAAACTGAAACCAAACCTTAACAAAATTAATTATTGATACTGCACAATGTTCTAAAATGTTTATAATGGATAGACTAAAATATCAATGTCTCTATTAATAGTTTCTCATACTATTTTCTTCTTTTTCAAAAAAATCTCTTCACATATCATAATTAGTTACCTCCCTTACAACGTAAACAAACACCGTATGGTACAAAACTTAGCGGTCTTTACACCTAAAATTATAACTTTCAGATGAACATAGTAATTTTGTCTTTGGAAATAATGAACACTACATCTTTGTCTTAAAAACACACTCTGGGGATGAGATTGTGTTTATGTCAGAAGTACTCGGAATAAAACAATATGTATCAACACAGTAATTTTCACTCTTCTTTTGATACCGATACCAAAAAGCTCATCCGAGAATATGACTGGATCCTATCGAAAATAAGCAAACAAAACTTGTCTAAATTATTCAATGAATCGTACTTTATATAGTAGCAGCATAACTTTGTGGTGCATACATCAATATTTCTCTACGTGCACGAGCCAGTAATGGATAGCGGCTCGGATTGAGGAATCGGAGAGCCGAGTTCGAATTCCAGTCGAATCCATTATATTACTTACGCGCCTTAGAAAAGGTATGAATCCTCTTCTTCTCCCCGTATGGGGAAATAGGAGGACAGACCGGGTTCGGTTTTGCCTTGGTCTACCGCAGAAAGAAATGGCAGCTTACTGCCGGAAAATCTGCCTCGTCAGGCATGTATCGAAAGATACATGATCGTGTATAACTGCCTGCTTGTCGAATGAGTTTGAAAAATAGTAGTTGACAAATGTGTTAGTAATTTTTCGAACGTTGACAAGATGTAGTATCGGAGAAAAAACAAATCTCTTTAAGGAAAGAACAAAATCCTCAAACTGGCGTACAGTCCTGTTTTTATTATTATTATTATTATTATTCTCTGAAAATGATCTGTCTAAACAGATTACCAACGGCTTCTTTGTTCGAAAGAGTTGCTTTCAGGCGTGGCGGGCGTAATATTTTCTTCACGGCAGAACGCAACATAAGACAAAAAAAAATCAATGGATGAAAATCGACTAAAAGAAAAAATAGAAAAAATGTAAAAAAAATATATTCGTGCAAAAATATTTGCATTCCTTTCAGTAAAATTTAATTTCTTGAAATTAAGCGTGAATTTGTTTTAGTGTTGATCAGAGACGATTTAAATGGCAGAATTTTTTTTTTCCTTGACATTTTGGAGTGATGTGGGTTAAATAGGGTTATTTTATTTCATTTTTGTGGAAAATATATTAAAAGGAGAAAGTTTAGTTCATAAATAATTCTAAAATTAATCAATGACGAGAAAATAGACAAGCAAAAGTGAAACATTGCAACCTGAAGACCTGTTGTCGACAGTTTATTCTGTAATCACAACGCTTCCAGTATCGTTATATATATATATATATATATATATATATATATATATGTGTGTGTGAGCAAATATATGGATATAAATCCGACAGTATGAAAGAAAAATACAGAAAAAAACAAACAAAATCTGAATATGATCACATTTAAAATATTAAAAAGTCGATTGAAAATTTTTTATAAACAGTTCAACGGAAGAGATTTCTTGAACTGTTTATAAAAAATTTTCAATCGACTTTTTAATATTTTAATTTTTTGGAAATCATCTTCGAATACGTTCTAACAATATCGCCCACGTGACGACTACGTGATCATATTTAAACGGAACGCTGATCTGTATAAAATTTCAGTTATCTGTTTGGATCAGTTGGGCTCTTATGTCCATCGTCTTTTGTGTTAAAAATTTTTATGTTCTAATGTTAATTATGTTTAAATGAAAATGTCCATGATGATGGTCTTAAATAGACCGAAACGTCCGACGTCGACTTTATTTTAACATTAATACTACATAATTGCATATTCAGATTTTGTTTGTTTTTTCTGTATTTTTCTTTCATATATATATATATATATATATATATATATACACACACATGCGGGCAGATGCAAGTATATAGGCGCTATTCAAAAGTGCTGCAAATTTAAACATGAAAAAATTACTTTTCTAAAACCAATTTTCTGCCTTTTGACTGCTGTTTCCACAGTGGTTCAAGAAAGTGCAGCAGTAAAATTCTAAAATGGATTCGGTTCTCACTTTTTTTTTCGTGCCTTTCATTAGGATATTCACTAAGGTCATTCAGTTTATTAACTAAAAATAATAGAATCATTTTTATACCAAAATTTGACCAATACAAAACACGAGAATCAGTCAATTTAAAGGGTGACTGATAAAATGGTAATGAATGAGGTGTGTGATGTGAATGAAACGGGTCATACAAAGTGATTATGAGAAGGATAGATAACGATTGCTCCTTGACTTGAAGAGTTTACGGCTGTGGTGATCAGGGGAGCACTAGCAGGAGTGCCTGTTCCACAAAATGACAGTTCTTGTGGATCTTTTTACCTTTGGAACAGGGAAGAAATGAATGTGAGTCTAATTTCTGGAATTAGCAAGTAGTCTCTTAGCTGTAAAGATCTAAATTGGTAAAGTTAAAAAATGAAGCTCTTCTGAAAGTTTGCCATAGAGTAGTGACAGGCTTGCAATTTTGGATGTGTGGAAAAGCTGCTGCAGAGTGAACAAGTCTCCACTTACAAAACTGCGTAAAAGATAATTACCAGCGTTAAGTTTATTGAACAACATATTTATTACTTTTAGTTCCATTAACTTCTGCCATTTTTCAGGCCTCTTCATAATTTCATTTTCCCCCAAAAAATTATTTTTCTCGGCGAAAGAATTTTGTTCAGTTCTTTTTGCAGATTCCAAAGAATTGATTTTTTTTTCATTAAGAAAATTGTTAAAAAAATGAGACAAATATGGAATATCTCATGACTACAAAGAATATGTGGAAACTTCTAAGCCTTATGTTACAGAATGTGAGAGCTGGGCCTAGATAGTCAAAGATTGGTCAGAATAACTCGTGGGCATGATATTTTGACAGTGATGAACTTCCGTTGTCTATTTTTTTTATATAAGTCCAAAATGGCTCGAAGACAACAGAGGACTGCAGATTCTTTGTTACTGTCGAACTCTCTGCTTTGAGCAGAGAGGGACCCGGAAGAGGCTTTGCCGAAGGTAGACAGGCCCGGACCCGTTTATACGGGAATATTTTTGGCCGAGCCTACGGGCTCGGAGAACCCACGGTAAACTCGGCCTTGTGCCACATACATCCCTCGTGCAGGGCGGGGGCTGTTAAATATTAACAGAGGACTGCAGGAATTTTGAAGCTTCGATACGCTTCAAATACTTAGGTTCGAGAGACAGGCTAAGACCACGTGCAGAAGGACGCTAAGCCAACGAGCGACAGGCGGCATCTTGAAGATCTTCCTCCCGCTTCCTCCTAGAATCCATGCTTCTGCGCCTTTCCCTCTCATCTAATAAAAGGAGTAAGAAAAAGAAACCGTCTTTCATTGATACCATCTATGCAGTAACGTTAGGGTTTAATGATGACACGGAACACAACACTACTGTTGTGGAGTACCGAAGCATCTCCATAAGATGAACTGATCTAAAAATAAAATAAATGGCACGCTCTCTTACTGTGAAAGTGGAAACAACAGAATTTGTTGCAGTTTTTGGGGGTATGTAAGTACTAGTGCGCTAGCCCAAATGAGCTGACTCATTTTATAGTTCACCAATAGAAGGGTTAACCAATCAGAAAGCTCAAAATATTCACTGCGACGTGTATAAAGGCAGCCATTTTTTTCTCCTAAATTGTCTGCACTGCCAACCTAATATCGAAGACTTAAAGAATTACTTCACAATCGCTACTTTCTCTGAATCTTCACTGCCGACCTCTGATATTGAACAGATTACGGACTTCACTGGATTCCATATTCAGAGACTGCGGCAAACATGGTCAACATAACTGAGGTGAAGTTCACGATTAACTGTTATTCCAGTAGACTGTATTTCCGACGGTTAGTACCGTATTATTCTTCGGAATAAATTACTACTCCTTTTTATATATGTATTGACTTATTGGTTTCATGATACAACTACCTGTAATAAATTTTTTGTCACCGAAAAGAATATTCAGTCGAACGTTATCTTAAAGAAATATTAATACGCCCTTCCTCCTCCTAATTTATTCTGGGTGAACGCTTTCTGTCGGTTGCTGGATTGACTTGGTTTACTTTGATTCGAAAAAAAAAACATTTGATTCTCTGGAATCGACAGTATAGGACTCTCCTCTAATTTTCTCATATAAAAAAAATGCATCACTTTTAGATAAAAACTAGCCTTTGATACAGTTCGTGGTGTTTCGTTTTCACTTTCTCTTCGACGCTTGTTTGTTTTTGTTTTGTTTTTGCGGGGAGTGGTAACGTTGTTGTAAAATATCTACTTGTCATCATTTTTTTCACATATTTCAAAACCGGTACATCTTCATTGCGTCAAGTAATGACCCACTAAGTTTTATCGTTTAACTTGTCTAAAGACACACATTAAAGCAACTAAAATCATCAAGATGGGGACGAAAGAATGGTTGGTTGGTTGTTTTTGTTTAGCGACATATCAACACCTATATGAGTTATTTAATGCCTAAAGTTAAATATTTTGTACGCAGTTTTTTTTTTTTTTTTTTTTGAGATAATGATTATAGTGATAAAGTCTTGCTAATTACCCTAGAGCCGGTGGGGGAGAGATGGATTCATATTTTTCCCCAGGGGTACTTGTGCGTAATATAACGAACTCAAATAGAATTGAAACCCAGCAACCTGATTAACAATTCCGACCCATTATCCATTACACCACCCTCACACCCATGCTTACGGCACCTGATATTCTGAAACGGTCACCCATCTAGGTACTAACCAGGCTCGACGTTGCTTAACTTCGGTGATCGTACTTGATCCGGATGTAAGCCTTGTGGTGAATGATCTGTTTGATTTGGATGTATTAAACATGTTGTCTGAGTAACAACAGATTTAATGTCGATTATTCTCAAGTAATATTTGAATTTTATCAATATCATCCTCACCTTGTCTACCTGGTCGTGGAGCATCGCTCAGTGAAAAATCACTCCGCAAATCATTTTTGACACATCCGATCATTTACAGTACCTTCTACATAAGCTGCAAAAATTATTTTGTTGGCAGTTAACTTTTTTTTTCGCTTTCTGAGAATAAAGTCTCAAATATGTTACAATTTTTTTCAATTTTTTTTAACAAAAATAACAAAGAAAAATAAACCAGTTATAATACAAATTCAGCTGCACCTTGATATGGCAGGTGTCTCAATCTAATCAAGCATAACTCTTTTTAATGAATTTAGTTAAAATTAAACTTATTTATATGTGTACTATTGTCCTCACATTTTTTTTTTTTTTGTTATCACTGCGTTTCGCTCACTGTGCCCTTTGGCATTCATCAAATGTTTATCGGTCTGGGTAAATTGAACTCTCTTCAAGAGTAGAATGTTCTCCTTCCGCTAACCATGACTTGGAGTAGTACTGCTCAGTTAATAGCTTACCCTGATTTCACTGGATCTAACTACACCCTGTCCGCCACAGGGATTGAACTCACAATTACTATGCTACCAAATTCACAAACCCACGCTTTAATCCGCGAGGTTATGGTCCTGTAGGATTATTCTGAGTGGAAAACATGGAGCCTTAAACCTAACCTGCCTGCTGATGAGTGATGCTGATGCTTCGGATAATAGTCTGAAGAGAAATAATGATAACTCCTTATCCCAGAAATTAAATTATAGCTTGGCAATATAACACGTTTATTTATTGCCTATCTCTGGCTTGACTCCGTGACAGTTGCCCTCCCATATCGCTTGCTGGAGACACGCGGATAATAGTTCTCTGATATGTGTTAGTGATGCATAAAAGTGTATATGGTTGTGTTCTAATTATAAATTCATCTTTTGTTCAACATGGTTACAGATTTAATTAAAGAAAATAAATTAGAAACACTATCTTTTACGCCAAAACATTTGTCTTCTATCCATTCACTACAAATTGTGAGTTCTCTTGAAAGGATTCTTTATTGAAAGATAATTTCATTGAAGCCTTCGATTTGATCTTAGTGAGAGAATAGTATCATCTAGACGATTAACAAAAATAGTATTCCTAAAAAGAAAGATTATCAAATTCGTCAATTCACATCAACATACTTGTAGCCAAGAAAAGGTTACTGAATGAGGAATAACCAAAACGGAGGTTGGAACGGAAATGGTAATCTTTATAACATCAACAAAATACAATACTCGCCAGCGTCGTGAAATAGGTAAACCACTACAAGCGGTGGACTACTTAAACAGCATATTACCCCCACTACTTACAATAGTGTCCAACGTATTTATGAGGATTGGGACATATCCATTAGTGTTCATAGGTACGGTATATAACAATATCTCTGAACTAATTCAATTTTGGAATCACTTTTACAAAATAGAAGAATGTGTTGCCCTATTCAAGTTCTCCATGTATTATTTTCACCTGATCTAGTTATCCCCGTGTCTGACAGATTTCAAGGAAAATGTGATGTAACAAGAACTACTTCAATGTTTCACTAACAAACTTCGATATTTACTTTTAAAATTAAGTTTTTTTAATGAGAAATCAATGCACAGAAACCAGGAAGGACCTGAAGTATTAATTGATTTTTTTTACAATGATTTTCGCTCTGTACAATGCCAAAGAACCACTCGAGATAGAGCGTTAGAGTCAAAGGCACAATTTATGGGAATATGTAGGGACTGTAACGGTTAACTCTAAACTTGAACAGGTTATGGTTGTAGTGATCAGGGAAACATCCTCTTGGAAGTCGCTTCCAAAAATCAGCGTTGCTTAAGAAGACGCTGTTCGAGTCGATCTTACATATCACCAATAGAATACAAAGGAAATGGACGTGATTGGCTAAAATGTGCGTGGCATGATGGGTCATAGCTGTGAAGGTTAGAGCTGGTAGAACTAAGGAATGTAATTCGTCTGAACGTTTTCCATGGAAGTAGCGAGAGAGCAGAGAGAGGCTTGCGACCTAAACAAAGCAACAAAACTAGATGGAGCTATAATAGTAATGTTGTAGCCTTTTCGGGATTGATAACATTTCAGAAATAACAAAGGAAATATATGACAGTGGTGAAATACCGGAAGACCTCAGAAGATCTATCTTCGTAGCGATAATAAAGAAGCAAGGAGGAAACAAATGCAAACTCCATCGACCAATCAGTTTTAAATTTAAGCACAGTACTAGGCTGGCGTCGAGTTCTCATCAATTTACAGTTGAGTTGGCTAACAGTTTCTTTTCTCGCACTTCTAGTTTGTGGAACTTTATCCTGCTTTCATGATTTCCAGTCAACTTTAATCTTCAAAAATATAACTGCAACGTCAATCGCTATCTACTGTTCTTCAGATTACTCATTTTGTTCTTGATCCTTATCAACGTTTCTGTTTCTCTTTCACTCCCAGTAACCCCTTGTGTCTTAGTGGATTTACGGCCTTGCATGGGATGAATTCGAATAAAAATTATTGCACATAACAAATCAATAGGATGAATTAAACCGGAAACGGGTCAAGAACGTGGTGGCTATTTTTATAATTATAAAGCTATCAGAGCAAGCAATACAAATGTAAAAAAATACTTATACTTATGTATAATTATTGACATTATTTACATTATTCTGACTGTTATCCTCATCTTCATTGCCATATTCACAACGGTTCGGCCGTTGTACGATCCGGCCTTCTTCAGGTGATTGGAATTTCGAACCAAACCTTTTATTTCGTCCGCATCAAGGACACATTGTCCATAGGATGAAAACGTTGGTTAGATCCAGTGACTAGACCCAAGGAGTTCTGAGTTCAATACCAGGCTTATAGCAGTGGTGAACCAAAAAACTCGGAGAGTTGAATTAAAAGGAGATAACTGAGACATCCGAAAGAGGCATGGCACGTGGAACTAGAACAGTCTACCCTGGTGGACGAAATAAAGAGTTCGGTTCGAAATTCCAATCACTGGAAGAAGGCCAGAGAGTACAACAGCCGAAACGCTGTGAATATGCCAATGTTAATGAGGATAAGAGTCTGAATAATGTAAATAATGTAAGTAATTATAATACTTCATCTCAGAGATATAGACAGACTATGTATAGTTGTTAGCTATACGTAAAGTGTAGCGGAGAAATCCGAAGGCGGATAGTAATAGCTACAATGGCTTCCAGAAACTAAGCAAGGTATTAGGTGATAGAAATATTCTGTTAGCAACAAAGTCATCTACTTTACTATAAAAAATCTTCTGACAAATGAAGAAAAGACTTGAGGCGGTTCTACCTTGGAGCCTGGAGACATGGACAGGACAACGAGGAAGTTTTGAGGAAAATAGGAATTACAAGGAAACCTATTTACAGTTAGAAAGAATTTAATGTTCTAGAATGTATAATGACGAAAAACGGCCTAAATAACCTAACACTGACAGGACAGTGAAGGCGACCGAAGTAGAACGAAACAGTAAGTAACCTACTTAAAGAGTTTGTGAGAGTGGGTGACAAGGCAAGGACAAAGGGGACTGATTGATTGGTTTGTGTTTTACGGCATTTGCAGGTTACTTAAAGCCAAAATTAGGTTGTAATAATGTTTTGGAGATAATAATGATTTACTGATACAAGTCGCACTAATTAACCCATAGATGGGGGAAGAAGAGGTGGCTTCATACCTTTCCCAAGAGTATTTTCCTGTAAGTGAATATAATGAACCCGTCTGGAATTGAAACTTGGCTCTCCGATTTCAAATCCCGAACTGTTATCCACTACACTTCAGGCTCATCTAAGCGTACAGCAACTGGACAAAAAGGAACTGAAAAAAGTCAAAATGTATTGAGGATGCTACCCCTCCTGGTCAGGATGGACCTGGGAACACCAGCAATTAAGAGGACGTTCCACACTTCTCAAAACCTCCTGATCAGAGGTCTTGCTGTTGGATGTAGTTTATCGTCATACCCAGGACGCGGACGTAGTTTATCGTCTTACCCAGGACGCGGATTTAGTTTATCGTCTTACCCAAGATGTGAATTTAGTTTATCGTCATACCCAGGACGCGCATGTAGTTTATCGCCAAACCCAGGACACGGATGTTCTTTATCGTCATACCCAAGGCGGGTCCTTCTAGGTTGACTTGCCTAAATTACTTCTTGCTTCAATAGCGCGTCCCTCAAAATTGACATAATTTAAAATGTAAATATCTGAGTAACTACTTGTCCCAGAAAAACGAAATTAAACGGGTTTCATGTTAAACAATAAAAGGTTTTGTTAACAAAATTCAGGAAATTGTGGGAAGCCATAATCGCACACTTCCTGAAAGGACGTGGCACATAAAAGAAGAATAAGAAATCTTAGAGGACAGCTAGGAACAGGAGTTTTTGAAAATACAATTTCTTCTTGCGGTGAAATGATTGAAATATAAATGGGAACATTTTAAATGTCCGACTTAAAAAATCAGCATTCGAAATCCTGGTTTTTTTTTTTTCCTCTAGGCTCGAAAACTGGTCGTTGGCGGTGATATGGAATTTGCCACTAGCTCAACCACTGAAGAGCCACTGTAAGGTATTGATCCTAATCTCCGTTCGCGTATCGCATTCGAAAAACATCACAGCTGTTGTATGCGTTGACTGGATCATCTGCTTAACACTGAACTTCCTGCATAAAATTAGATTATATCTTCATTACCATTTATCTTCAAGTTATGCGAAACTTGCCTTTACGACCCAAGATTCGCAGCTGGTTCACCTGCTTTTCTTTCTTTCTTTCTTTCACTCCATCCCCATCTGTATCCCTATGCCGAAGTTCCTAGCAGAAGCTAAATCTGACAGCACACATAGATCGAGGGAAAATAATTAAAACCGTTTCGATATTT